TTTTTTTTTTTAAAGCTTTTCCTTGCAGTGTCTTGTAATTCTTCAAGTTTCTCTTTCACCCATTGAAAATATTCAATCTTTGTTCTTTTAAATTGTATGTCAGAAAGTTTCATCAGATATTCTGGCTTCAGGAAATCTATTGATACACTGTCGCTTTTTTGGGGGTTACATCTTGCTTTGGGCTTTTGTAGGTGTTAAGGTAGCCTACTTCCTATGTGACATTGATGTGGTAGAGTTTTTCATGTCTGAGGTGATAGCAGATTCTTGATCTGAAGTTACTGCTCCAGAAGTGTGTGGGACAGCTACCCTGCCTGGGGTTTCTCTCTGCCTTCTAACCCAAGGGATGATATGCTTTAGTTCAATAGAGAAAAGGCTTGTGGAAGCAGCCTCCTCTGTTTGAGAAATGCCACAGCTAGGGTAGCCCAAGGTACTCTGGGATAAAGGCAGTTGATGGACTGGATGTGAGGAGATGCAAGTCAGAGTGCAGTGAGTTGACTGGAAAACCAAGAAAACTTGGTTTTCCCTTCAAAGACAAACAAAGCTGTTTTGCTCCCTTCTGATTGAGCTTAAGGGGTTCCACATGATCCAGCCAAACAGTAGTGATGACCCCCAAGTACCTCACTCAAGTTCCAGCATCACTCCCCAGTGTGTCGCACCCTGGCATCGCTCCTTGGCATGTTGCTCCTAGGCGCAAAGCAGCTTTATTAAGGGAGCTCCTGTGTGAGGTTCCTTGGTCACAAAATGGAGAACAAGGAAGCCACCCAGTAGGTTTTCTGAGGCAGAAGGAGATTGCTCATCCTTCTCCTGAAGAACATATAGTGGACTCGAACTGTGTGCCTTCAGGATTGCAGCTGAGCTTCTTGCCACTAGGTCACCAGTGCTCCCTAACTAAATTGTTAGGGATTCAAATCCACCTAGTGACTCTGTGAGAGAGAAAAAACCTGTTTTGCTCCCATAAGGATATAACCTAAAACACCGTATGGAATGTGTCTACTCTGTCTAATGGTGTGATTGCAAATAGAAAATTATAGCTCAGTGGCCTCTAAGACAACATCATGAGATTCAGAGAGTACCAGGAATTTGGAAAAACTTGTAAACAGAATGAGGCAAGAAAACGAGGTCATGAGTGCTGGGGTGGGAGTCAATGAACACTTTCTGTTTGGAGGGCTGGTTTCTGTTATGGTTTTGAGATGGATACACATGTTTGTGTTATCATGAGATTTGTGAGCAGGGGCATGGTGACCAGGCCTTCTTGACTTCAGTTAGCCTCCCCTTTCTGTTGTTTTATATTTTATCTTATTTGAGAGTTAGGTTAAAATGCACAGTGCATGGATGATGAAGTAGAAATGAGCCCTCAGGAATTATCCTGTCATTTATAAATGAAGAAATGGAAGCCTTGACTGTTGCATTCAACCTCAGGTCTCACATCTAGTAGGTATCAGAACCTGGAGAAAAGTCCAAGTCTCCCTTTTTCCTCAATCTGAACATTGTGGTGTGCCCTCTACCAGGGAGAGCTGGAATAATTTCGTATGAGGACTTGGGGATGAATGTACAAATCAACATTCAGAAACCAGTTCTGACTTTCTTTTTATGAGTTTTAAATACAGTGTAATAATCATAAAAAATAAATCTTTAGATTCCAAACTTGACAGTGTCCTTCAGCTCCATTCTCTATTGAGGGTACAAGGACATATTTCCATTTTATTGCAAATTGAACATAAGCAGCTTTACAGCCCAGCTGGCAGTACAGCAAGCCCACATTAGGTTTCCACACTCTCTCGATTTATCTTGAATGAGCTTGAGGTTGTGTGTGTATAAGCATTTTCAATGGTGGGTTCCAACTGACTAGAATGGGCTCTGGACAGCTCCCTGGTGGTCTCACACTATAAATTCATATAATATCTGTTCTTTTCCCTTTTAGGACCAGATCTTTATGGAGAATGTAGGTGCAGTGAAGCAGCTCTGCAAACTAACCAACAACCTTGAAGAAAGGATAGAAGAGTTAGAAATATGGAACAGAAAGCTGGCCAGGCTAAAGCGGCTCAGTAGTTTGAAGTCCTCTGTCAGTGAAGCCAGTTCAATCAGGTACACTCAGGATTACAACAGAAATTCAGGAAAGGAAAGGGTGGGATGTTTTCATAACTAGGCCAGCCTTAGTTTGTTTTTTATTTTTTTAAAAAAATTTAACAAGCAGCACTTGTTACTTTCTCATAATGAAGTTCTCACTTTTGTTTTAAAAATACTTTGGTATGATTAGTTTTTCCTACTTTCCCAAATCTCATCCCAGTGTCTTAAAACAAAACATTGGGCATATGCTTGATAACAATTGTTCAAGAATGTACTACATTATACCACAAGGGAGGCTTCTCCTTTAACAAGGTCATTTCTAAATATAGAAAACCACATTTAGTTCTTAGGGGTAAAACATTATTTTTTTTTTTAAATTATTACTTAAGTAGGTTAAATGCACATTTCCTGGGGTTTGGTTTTGAGAAATGTAGTATTTAATGCATTCATTTATGCTTATTAGCTTTCTTTTCCACAAAAGGAACTGTCAATTGTTTTGATTTTTCCTTTTTTACAAAATTACCATAATTCAAAGGAAGCTGTAGTGCTGTTAGAATGACGGAGTAGGCTTTTTTGGTATAATGCCTCAAGAAGCATTTGAATTGTAATAAATTTTCTCTCTTTCTTTTTAAAAAGCAAATTTAGCAGAGCTGCTAGTGTATCTTCTCCGAGAAGATCCAGTCCCAAAAAACCCAACAAGGTAAATAGACTTATATTTATAATAAACACAGGTGATCTTTTACATACACAGAGAGAAATTGAGGGCAGGGGGAGTATCTCTAGAGAAATTACAAATGATTTTTGCTTTTTTTGTTGTTGGATTCCCTTATTTACCCCCTATGCATGTCAAGTGTTTACATAGGAACTCTTTGTCTCTTTGTGGTACAAAAGAATGACATTTGACTTCTCAGAGGAATATCCAAAAGTTAATGTGATTCCTCTGCAGTTACAAAAAGAATTCAGAGAAGGAAACCGAGAAAGTAATACCATTTACAATACCCAGAGACACCTAGGAACAAAGGCTGAACATAGAAATCCCATATGACCCAGCTATTCCACTGATAGGAATATGTTGTTATTAGGTGCTGTTGAATTGAGAACAACTTGTAGTGACCCTATGAACAAAAGATATGAACCCAGTTCTATCCTGTGCCATCCTCATACTTGCTGACACACAGAGCCCATTGCGGCAGTCACTGTGTCAATCAAATATGTAAACCTATGTTCATACAAGTGTTATTCACAATAGCAATGTCCACCAACAAACGTATGGATTGAGAAATTTTGGTACATTCATACAAAGGAGAACTTCACAGCCCTAATAAACAATGATTTTGTAAAATACCATAGGGAACATAGGGAAGCCTAGATAGCATTATGCTGGGTGAAATAACTCAGTTACATAAGGATAAATACTGTATAAGACCACTATTATGAAAACAGGAGGATAACTGAGCTGATTGTGTATAATATTCAAAAGTGTAAAGGGAAGGAAAATAGAGAAGCCATAAAAAGGAGAAGGGGCAAAACACCTGTGAGATATCATCTCACCCCAGTAAGAATACCAAAATTTAACAGAACAGCAAGCAACAAATGCTGGCAAGGTTGTGGAGAAACTGGAACTTGTATTCACTGTTGGTGGAAGTGTAAAATGGTGCAACCACTGTGGAAGGCGGTATGGCGCTTTCTCAAAAAGTTGCAAATATAGATACCATTTGACCCAGCAATTCCACTACTGGGAATATACCCAAAGAGACCATAACTTAAACACAAGCAGATATATGCACACCATGTTTATTGTGGCTTCGTTCACAATAGCAAGACATTGCAAACACCCTAAGTGTCCATCAGCAAAAGAATGCGTAGAGAAGCTGTGGTATATTCACACAATGGAATACTACAATGCATTGAAAAACAAGGAACTCATGCAATATTATTCAAAATAAGTGACCCTGAAAGAGTCATTATGCTGAGTGAAGTATCTCAGTCACAAAAAGACAGATACTGCATGGTGCCCCTGTTGTAAAACAGGACTGACATCGAGGTTGGGGAGAGACTGAGAAAGATGGGATAAATAATGTATACTGCATTAAAACAGATGAGGAAGAAAACAGTTTAAAAGATATATGTGATGAGGTATTTTTGTCATGATGGAACTCCAGAACGAAAGCTGCATAGTGGAGTGGACCTGAGGGGAGGGATTGTAAAACAATCAAAGAATTTTTCTTTTACTTTTCAAAGAGAAGAGTATACTGGGGGTGAGGGTTGGGAGGGGAGAAAAGTACAACAATGAATGAATGGAAGTTCAAAGTCTCTGTAAATTTTCATTGAAATTAATAATAAATTTTAAAAAAGGGGGGAAGGGGAAAAATCACCAAGAAAGCAGAAGTCAATCAGCAGTTCAGAGGGTAAAGAAATAGAAAAGATTCAACAGAGACTTGAAAACATCCCCATGAAAAGGGTGATAATAAGCATAGATCAACAGTAATTAACTATATAAAATACAATGTGTATGAATGATCGTACAAAATACATACATGAATGAAATACATATATGAAACATGGTATGGAAAAATGTATGACTGACAGCAAACCAATAAAATTTTTTTTAAGTTATTAACTTTCACAGGAATGCTGAATATTGTTATCTTAGTTGATGATCTCACAAGATATCATTTCATTATATAGCAATAAAAATTAAAGAACTCTGATTGTTTATTGGTTTGCGAACAGAAAGGTTGGTGGTTCAACAACATCAGCTACTTTTTAGGAAAAGGATTTCTGCTCCTTTAAAGAGCTACAGACTTGACAATATAAGGGGGGCCACTAGGAGTCAGAACAGACTCCACTGCAGATAGCATCAGTTAAAACCATCATACTTTAACCTTTGTAAGCAGATGACTACCCATTCTCCATCTACAAATGCATTACTAAATTCCAAAGGGAAAAGGGATTTGAGGATTAACTGAAATCCCTCTGGAGTCTTCTGAAATCAGATGAGGGATTAGGTCAAGTCAAGGCACACTTATAGATGTAGGCCCAGGGCCATAAGCATGGAGAAGCTAATGAAGTTCATCTGTTGAGAACAATATAAAAAACTGGCAGGTTTATGCTTCAAAAATGGAGCTTGTGGAGAAAAGAGTGGAAGATTGAGGTGTGAGCACAGGGTGTGAAACCTGTGAGCTGCTTTGCTGTGGTACCTCATTGACTTGACCTGGAAGCCTCTGCCTGTTTTTTTAGCTCAATTCCCCTCCATTATGCAAGTTTCCATGTCAATTGTTAGAGTCTTAAAGATCTCTAGAGCCTGTAAATTTACTTATTTTTATATTCCTTATAATGTTATGCCTGGTGGTTATTATGTGACATCAAGTTGAGTATGACTTACAGAGACGCAATGACCAACCAACCATCCTGAAATTTGCCTGATCTTGTGCTAACCTCATCATCTCTGACATGCTAGAGCCCATTGCTGAAGTCACTGTGTCAAGCCATCTCATTGGGAGTCTTTGTGTCCTTTTCTGACCCTGCACCTTTCCAAGAATGAGGTCCCTTTCCAAGGAATAGACTCATCTAGCTACATGTCCAAAGAGACAAAGCTTCACCATCTTTGCTTCCAAGGAGCACTGCAGCTGCACCTTCTCCAAGACATAACTGTTTGTTCTTTTAGCAGAAAAAGGGAGATATTCAGTCCTTTTTTCCAACACCACAACTCAAAGGAATCAATTTTTCTTCTGTCATACTTATTGTTCAGCTCTCTGATGTATAGCTATGCATGGTAGTGGTTAATAAATATTTGTTGACTGGATCCAGAATAAATAATACACAAGCCCAGAGCTTAGAGGTTAGAATTGGATATTGATGTTTTTTATTTAATGAGTCCTTGCTAGGATTTCATGCTGCAAATATCTTTACCGTGTTTGTCATATGCTTAGAATTCTTTCACTGGAATTTATTCCTTCTTGTCTTGAATCTTTTGATTTTCAAAAGTATTCTTTTAGAAGAAATAAACCCCTGGGTTCCGACAGTGTCAGGTCTGATAGGGAGGATAAAGGCATAAACTGCAAAGACAAGTGGAATAGATGATTGTCCTGCAGGGTTTTGGTGAAAAGAGAGAATACTGTAGCCAGAGAATTAAAGAAAAGGAGTGACTGAGGTAGACTTTGAAAGAAGCTTGTTTTCTGAGGAGCAGCGAGGAGGAGGGAAGTGTACTTTGAGGAGAGCACACCCACCATTCTGTGGGAGCAGAAAAGGTCATTACTGGGAACAATTCTCTATTTTATCACTGCTTCGTTACTGAATCTTTTTATAGGTTTATTTTTCAGGAAAAAAACAGTCGTGTCCTAACTGGGTTTTCCAGACCTTGGTGATATCTCTAATTGCTGTGATGGCATTTTGGTAAGAAAAACGTCAATGTTATGCTATGTCAAGTTCTTCCCCCACCTCCTTCTTGTCTTTTCTTTTCTTTTCTTACATATGAACGGGGCTTGACCTTCTATTTTCTTTGAAGAGAAGGAGCCCTTTCACTGAGGCGGACATTCTAGTCAGCTTAAAGATGAGAATGCCCTTTCTGAACTCAGCTCAAAGAACAAAGCACAGGCATTTGTACTTAAATGTGGAATGAAGGAGGTCGCCTTAAATGGAGGGTTTCTTTCAGTCATCTGATACCTTGTCATCAGTTCCTGTGTGTGTGTGTGTGTGTGTGTGTGTGTGTGTGTGTGTGTACACACATTTCCACTTGCTCTCCATTCTTTCTTACTTTTATAAATATCTTTCTTCTCCTTCCTATCTTCTTATGTTAATGGAGTAAGAAGGAAGTCCACTCTACTATAATTTTCAGAATTCTTCTGAATTCTTCAGTAATGATTTTACACCAAAGGCACTATAAGATCATCCTAAGGTTCAAGTGAAATTTACCAAATAGTTAAATCAAGCAAATGCGGTATTTGCTATGCAAACATTGGATGGCTTGTGGGCAGCCATCTCTCCTGTCCCTGGTGAGGAGGAGGGGTTGATGTGGGAGTTATCTCCTGCCGGGTGCAAGGATCTTTCTCTGGCCTGTGATCCTGAGGCTTCTGTTGCTGCTGTGTTGGCCCCTCCGGCCTGGAGCCTGGTCAACCTGTGCTCCTTAGGGCTTTTGCATGTGTCCTCGAGCCATTGACTATTTCTTTCTTGTTTTCATTCTGGCTATTCGCATGGTAAAAGGAGCATTTATCTCACAAAAAACCTGCTTTGTTGGTGGTGTGGGAAAGGGCTCACTTCTGGCCTTGTTTCAAGAGAGACAGTCATTCTCTGGCATCTGCTTTCCCTAGGTGTTTGGCATCTGCTTTTGCTAGGTGCTTCAGATCTTTGCTCTACAGCAGCTTCCTAATCACAGAAGACATGGGCTGCTCTCTCCTCTTTTGTCCCCTTCGCACTTTCACATTTGTTCCTGTTTATTGCGGGAAGTTTACTCCAGTACTTCACACCATTTTACAGAATTCTTACAGAAACCTTGACACATTTCTCATATGAGGCACACTTGTCCTTTCCTGTTGGTATTCTTAACTCAGGACAATGTAAGGACTCATCTTTATCAGACATACAGAACATTCTCTGTGGACATAGACTTCTAGAAAAATTCATTAGAAAGAGTCAATTCTGAGGTGAAAATATTACTACCATTAAAAAAAAATACCCAGACACTTTTATTATTATTTGAATGAAAGTTTACAGAACAGATTGGTTTTCCACTGAAATATTCATACATGTTTTTTGTCATTGATGATAATCTCCACATTGTAGCAACACTCTTCTCACTTCGTCCCTGTGGTTCTTTCCATCCATCCTTCAATCCTCTGCCTTCCTGCCACTTGAGCTTTGTCCTGGACACACTGTCCTTTTGATCTCGTGTGATTGACTGTTCTAAGGATGGACAAGATCTTACTTTTGTTATGGGATTACTAGATCTTATGAATTCTAAAACTGTCGACTACCCAATTCCAGAAGTGGAAGTATAAGGCATATTTTCTCTTGTTTCTGGCTTATTGTGTACCCTAAAAGAATCAAACAAAGAGAATTTTCTCTCAATGGAGAGAGGGGGTTCTTTTCTATTTGATGGGCCTGAAGTTCCTTGGGTTATGCATTAAACAGATGACAGAGACAAATCAGAAAATAATAGTTAAGGATTACTTTTGGGGAGCAGAGTGGAGAGTGGGAAGAACTGGTGAACAGAGTAAAAGACCTTGAACTCCAGCAAGCATTATTCAGGGTGACAATCCAAATCTGTGTGATGAGGCTGTGCCTCACTGTTTCCAGGCAGGGTAGTTCTAGGCAGTAACAAGTTGCTTCTTATTTTCTTGACGAACTGGAGATCAAAAGTGCAGCACATTTCTTTGTGTATACTTAATGATTCTATATAATGACTCTCAGTTTTCTTATTTGGGAGATAAAATGTTTAAAAGCACCACCAGCAGTGTTGTTGTTGTTGTTGTTGTTATGTGCCATCGAGTCATTTGCAACTCATAGCGACCCTATGTACAACAGCCCTAAACCGTGCTCTATCCTGTGCCAATCTCATTGCCTCTGACAAACCCATCCCGAGTACCCCAATCACTGAACCAGCAGTGTACAAACTGGAAACCTCCAATCATACTGAGTTCCCTCTCCAAATGTGAAACAGCAGTAAATCCTTCACATTTGATAGATTTACAAATTCATTAGGAACTAGGTATGAAGTCAGACTGGTAAGAGGTCAAGTTAGGTAACACAGGCTGTTTCAAATCCAGCATAATGACTGCAAAATTCTTGGGCAGACTTTAGAATTTGTGAGTCTTGAAGGCTCCCCCATATGAAGAATGGCATTGGGTTTAGTTCCCCAAACCTCCTCACCTTTAAGAGAGAGTTTCTCTCTGTTTGTTTGTATGTGTGTATGTGTGTGTGTGTGTGTGTGTTTGTGTGTATCTTGACTCAATGGCACATAACAACAGCAACAATATATAGATATTCTGATAATTAGAGGAGAAAGAGATACCTGTCAATTTAAAGTGTGGAAATGGATGCTTTATTGCATTTCTTCCCCTTTCTTTGTCCAATTTATTGAGCTCTATTCAGAAGACAGACATCAGAAGATGTCAAAGAAGCAGCCAAAGGTCTAGAATCAGCAGCCGCCTTTCATCTCCAACTGTGATGGTGCAGATGACCCCCATCAGTGCCATGTGAACTTGGCCCAGACTTTTTCCTGCAAGGAGCAGAGGGCTGTCTCCAGCTATTCATATACTTCCTCTTGTAATTTTCCACTAGTGACAGACACTTCAGAGACAGTTTACCAGGGTTAAGGGGCTGCTCTGAGGAAAAATCCATCAGCCTGGATTCCCCCAGGAGCCCTGAGATCCAGGAAGCCAAGGATTTTCTCTTAGCAGGGCAGAAGGCATAGCTGTGTTGGTTTCCATGGTTTCTATAGCTGTGATTTTTCTGACTCCTCCCCTCCCATCTGTGTGGCCTGTTAGGGAGCATCGTTGGCCAGCAGTATGTGTGAGTTATATCTGGAGCCAAATGTGCCATGTCAGCTTTCCCGTCTCTTTTTTCCTTCTCTCTTCACAGCGCGTTGACAATAGTGTTCCTTTACATACTTAGCTTGAAAGATCAAGACCGTCTTGCTTCAAGTGTCCTTCCAAGGTGAGAGTTAAAGTCTTAATTTTCTTTGAGGAGAATTCTTGAAACTTCCTTCATTAAGTGTTTGTTCTCTTCCTCCAGCAATATCACAGGCTCTCTGAAGCCAGTCCTGCCAGCCACGGTCTCCTCCTCAGGTAAGGTCTTCACATTCCTGCACCCTCACACTCAGCCTTTCAGCCTTGTTTCATGTGAATTTTCAGTAAGAGAAACCAGCCTTTCCAGTTAACCTTGTTGCTTTCTTCCCTTCTCCCAATGCCACACAGCACCTAATATATCCCTGGCAACCACACAGCCTTCCTTCCAAATACCAGAAATCACTTTTTGTGAGGTCCTGCCATGCCAAGAGACTTACTGCTGCCCCATCTGGGGAATCAGAAGAGTCATTTCAAGTCCTATGAGCAGACAATCCAAGGAGGAGAAAGAACTCCATCAGCCCTGGGCAGGTAATGGGTGTTAGTGAAGAAATATGCAGAAATTTGAACCCTACTTCTTTCTGCATCTATGTTCACAGAATATTTTGTTAATTCCACATAATGCTTCTGCTCTCCTATTTGGGGCAGCAAAATCTTCAAAAATACCTACAGGATTAAGTTCCTTATAAAGGGATGGAATTTTGCTTGATTAAACCCTTATAAATTTCACCAAGTAAAAAGGTCTCACTTATCTATTGTCAACAAAGATAGTAATGGTAGGACCAGTGCAATAATTATGAGAATGTGGGTAGATTTGGGGGCTCAGACAAAACTTAAAAAACTATATACTATCTGCCCAAACCAATAAGAGGGCGATGTAAACAGTTTTGGAAATTGATAATAAATTAACAGTAAACTTTATGTCAGTAAAAAAGCACAAAGCTGAAATTTCACTTTCAGAATTTCTTCTTCTTCTAGGTACACACACACACACACACACACACACACACACACACACACACACACTCTTACATGCATGCACAAATATTAGTGATGTTTTTTAAAATAACAGGATTTTTCATTATAGGATTAATTATGGAAACTTGATCAAGGCCTAAAAGTATAACTATATATCAGCCCAATTACATTTATCTATCTATAAGCCCAAATATAATACATTCAATTATATACTGATTTATTATTATTTTCAGAAATGCCTTTTTATCAACACATATATTATTGAGTGTTTAAAGTAATGATGATGATGGTTCTAATAATAATCATAAATTCATACTAGTGTAGCTTATGTGTTAGGACAGCCACTGTTCTCACTGTGTTGTAATGTGGTGGCTTATGTGTTGCTGTTATGCTTGTGTTTCAAATAGCAAAATAGGTCCTCATAACTGAGCGTTTCAGCAGAGTTTCCAAACTAAGACAAAGCAGGAAGTAGGACTTGTGTGTTTTATTGATTATGCAAAGTCTTTTGACTGTGTGGATCATAATAAATTAGGAATAACTTTGAGAAGAATGGGTATTACAGAACAATTAATTATACTCATTCAGAACATGTACATAGGCCAAGTGGCAGTTATTGGGAAGAAAATAAGGCAATACCGCATGGTTTTACAATCAGGAAAGGTGTTCATAACAGTTGTATTCTTTCATCATATACATTAAATCTGTATGCTGAGAATCTGGGCCATATGAAGAGTAAAGTGGCATTAGAATTGAAGATAAAGTCATTAACAATTTGTGTTATACACATGACACATCCTGACTCATTGGAAGTGAAGAGGACTTGAAGCACAGAAGATGATCAAATACTAAATAAAGCCTTTCATATGTCTTACATATTGATAGAAATAAAACAAAAATCCTCACATTAGGTAACATTTGTTGGTTAATGATAAACAGAGAAAATATTGGATTTGTCAAGTATTTCATTTTACTTAGATCCATAATCAATGTTCACACATGCGTCATGCAAGAAATCAAGAGGCATGCTACATTGGCAAATCTGTGGACAAAGACTACTTTAAAGTGCTAAAGAGCAAAGATGTTAATATAAAGACTCAGTTGAGCCTACCACAAGTCATGTATGAGACTCATATATGTATGAGAGTTGAAGAATGAATAAAGAAGACAGAAGAAGAATTGATGTCTTTGAGTTATTGGTGAAGAATATTGCATATGCCATGGGCTCCCAAGAAGACAAATAAGTCTTTGTGCAAGAAGTGCAGCCAGAGTATTCCATAGAAGTAAGGAGGATAGAACTTCATCTCACATATTTCATGCTAGTTAATAGGAGGTGCAAACTCCTGGAAAAGAACAACATGCTTGGAAATCTGGAAAGTCAGGAAAGAAGAAGAGCCTTGTTGAGATAGGTTGATATGGTTACTGCAACAATGAGCTTATGCAGGTAGAGATTGTGAGGATGGCACAGGACTGGGCAATGTTTCCTAAGTTATACCTAGCATTGCCATGAGTCAGAGCCAACTCAATGACACCTGTCAACCACACACTGTCAGGGTGGTGTAACCCTGTAATTGCTCTTAGGTGCTTTCAAGTTGAATACAACTTACAGTGACCCTATAAACAACAGACCTGAACCCTGCCCTATCCTGTGCCATCCTTAGCATCTTTGACACACTAGAGCCCATTGTGCAAGTCTTTGGGCCAATCCATCTCATTGTAGGGCCTTTCTCTTCTTCATTGACCTGCCACCATTCCAAGGAATAGCCTCACCTAGCTACATGTCCAAAGTGTGAGCGATGAAGCTTTGCCATCTTTGCCTCCAGGGTACGTGCAGCCTGCACTTTCTCTAAGACATATCTTTTAATTCTTTTGTCTTCCATTGTCTTTCATCCCAGTCCATGGGCTATTTGACATCCTTCTCCAGCACCACAATTCAAAAACATCAATTCTTCTTCTGCGATTCTTATTCATTGTCCAGCTCTTTAATGTATAGCAGGTGGGTGAGAAGATCCTGGCTTGAATTAGGGGCACCCTACTTCTAAAACTGATATCATTGCTCTTCAGTATTTTGGAGAGGTCCCTGACAGCAGACTTGTCCAAAGCAATACATTCTCTGGTTTTCTGACTGCTGGTACTAAGGCTGTTGATCGTTGGTACAAGCAAGATGAAATAATTGAAAGCTTCAATCCTTTCTCTATCTATTATGATATTGACTGTTAGTACTTTGGTGAGGACCTTTGTTTTCTTAATCTTGAAATGTAGTCCATACTGAAGGCTGTAGTCCTTGATCTTCTGCAGCAAACATTTCACATCTGCCTCACTTTCAGCAAGGTTGTGTCATCTGCATAAGGTAGATTGTTTATGAGTCTTCCTCCAGTCCTGATGTCCTATTCCTCTTTATAGAGTGTGATTTCATGAGTTGTTTGCGCTGCATACAGAATGGAAAGGTATGGAAAAAGGATACACTCTTTATGATTTTAAGCCATGCAATGTTCGTATTTTAGACAACAGCTTCTTGGTAGAGATTTATCATGAGTACAATTAAGTATTCTAGGATTCCCATTCTTCCCAATATTAGCCATAATTTGTTGTGATCTCTTCAGCAAAATAACTCTCAAATTAAAGTAGCTTAATATGGTAAAAACTTACTTCTCCCTCATTCTGTATGTCAAAGGTATATCAAAACAGAGCTGTTGCTCTTCCTCTCATTCAGGATCTAATCAATGGAGACTATCTTAGTATACATTCCACAGTCTCTCGGGCAGTGGTCAAAGAATGAGACAGAGAGTACATTGGCTCTTAAAGCTTCTTCCTGTGTGTAATACATGTCAATTCTGCTTACACTTTCCTGGCCAAATCAAGGCACATGTGTCACATTTAATTTGAGAGCAGTCTTAACATGTGGTGGGAGCAAATTAAGCAGCACATTTGTGAGAAGAACTAGTAACTGGAACATAGAAAATGGTCAGCAGCAAAAAAGTTTTGGGCTGACAGGTAATTGCTTTTCCCCTTTGTTTTTATTCCATATCCAAGTCTTGATGAAATAGCCCTTATAAGTCATCATTACTGTTACTGTCACATTGTCATCATCATGTAATGAGTTATTACTATTTTTGAGGTACTGTCGTAAGTAGTTTACATGAATGAATCACGTAATCTCCACAGTCATAAAACAGGCACTGTTCTCATCCCCCTTTGCCCAAAGAAAAAGCTCAGACACAAAGAGTTTTCCCCTATAACTAGTAGAAACAATCCTTGTACTATTATTTTCTCATGAAAGCAGTTCTTGGTTGAGCTTGCGAACACAGGAATCTCCATTTGGTGAGAATAAAGGTTCAGTTTGAAAAAAACCTTCTTTTCAGTTGTTATATTCTTAGTATTTTCAAGTATGGAAAAATCTAGCAGTGTTTTAAAACTCTCCCAAGATTTCATCCCTTGCAAATCCAATGGTAACTCCTTTCTTTGCCTAGGAGTCTGACTTGGAGACCTTGGTATCCTTTCTTGAAAGGAGTCCCCAAAAGAGAACCTCCCACCTGGGAAAGATGTGCTGATAATACTAAATCCTGAATAGAAATAGTTAATGTGCTGGTCCAATTTATTTCCCTTTTCAGAGGTTTCTTGACTCCTGAGCAAATACAGTACTGTAGCCTGCTATTTAAAAAAAAAATAAAATGTTCAAACCCATGTGAAGAATGTTCCTTTAAAAGTCCAGAGACTTTTAAAAACCTCTTTAGACAATTAACCAAGGTGCCAGCGTCCCCAGGTCATGAGACTATTTGATTGGACAGCTGATGAAATGAAGGCCCAGATTCTTGCCCAAGTTCTATGTGAGTTAGCAGAGAATAGGAATTGGGATCTGGGTCCCCCTTTTCCCTCACTGGGTTCCTTTTAACAATTCTATCTCCACTTACATGAGCATCTCAAGTTCATGGTACCAGGATTAACTCTGGAAGATGCAGGGCCTCTGTTGTATCATTCTAGGAACCACTCTGCTGGTTTGTTTAGTACTATTTGTTTGGTACCCTATTGTTTGGTATTTTGGGAGGCTGAGGAGTATTCTCATCCTGCTGAGCCAGCCTCCTCTTCTGTCCAGGACACTACACAATTCCTAAATGCAAAAGAAAGAAAAGCAAGTCAACTATTTTAGCTAGATGATCCTGAGTCATTAAAGGCCAATTGAAAATAAGAAATATCTATTAAAAAGAAATTAAATAACTTTAAAAAAAGCCTTGGTCAAAACAGCTATAAGCTATCATCTCACCCCAGTAAGAACAGCAAAATTTAACAGAACAGCAAGCAACAAATGCTGGCAAGGTTGTGGAGAAACGGGAACCTTTATGCACTGTTGGTGGGAGTGTAAAATGGTACAACCACTGTGGAAAGCATTGTGGCGCTTTCTCAAAAAGTTGCAAATAGAGATACCATTTGACCCAGCAATTCCACTACTGGGAATTTACCTGAAAGAGTGCATAACTGCCTCCCAAGCAGATATACGCACACCCATGTTTATTGCGTCTTTGTTTATAAATAGCAAAGAGCTGAAAACAACCCAAGTG